GGGTCACTGTGAGGATGACATGGAGGAGAGAGCAACGCAAGTCACTTTGGTTCCCCAGTGGGGCGAAAGGTAGGGTATGAATGGAATAAAATTTTCACAAAAAAGCAACATCATTGTGCACACTTTATGGGTGGCTTGGATGCATTAAAGCTCCGTAAGCAATATTTGCAGCCTCGTAGTTTGTAGTTTGTGGTGGGTATGATCTTTTTAAGGAGCTGCGGTGGCTCAAGTGGTTAAGACGCCGAACTGCAGGCTGTGGAAGGTCAGTAGTTCAGCAGTTCAAGACCTGGGTGCCGCATGACGGAGCGAGCGCCCGTCTCTAGTTCCAGCTCCTGCCAACCTAGCCGTTCGAAAGCAAGAAATTGCAAGTAGATAAATAGGGACCACTTCGGTGGGAAGGGAACAGCGTTCCGTGCGCCTTGGTGTTCAGTCATGCCGGCCACATGACCACGGAAACGTCTTCCGACAGCGCTGGCTCTTCGGCTTTGAAACGGAGATGAGCACTGTAACCCTAGAGTCGGACTCGACAGGCTTTCGAGCAAGGGAACCTTTACCTTTACTTACTGTGTCTGTCAGCTTTGACAGTTCCAGGTGGTCAGCCGGGTTGGTTTGAAGCAGTAGAACAGATTTCGACGACATTAATTTACTGCTAGTGAAGGGTTGCTCTGGTTTTGCCTTTGCGGCCCGATGACTGTGAAGCAACCCACACCGTCTCCCTTGGCTGCCCGATCACCAGTCTTCTGCGCCACCGTATTTATCAGATAAGGTTATCGTAAGTATTACAGAAATGAATGTTGCTTCAGAATTCTAGCGTCCGAAATTCAGGTTCTATGGTTATAAGCAGGGCATGTGGAAGGAGGGGTTAAGTATTCTGTTGTTCTGTGGAATTTTGGGGTCCTGAAATAACTGCCAGAAACCCCCTATTATGAACACATCAGTGCCTTTATTTGTAATTCTTCAGAATTCTAGTGAGCAACCTTAAAGCCCTTTGAAATGTCTGTATAGTTAATTCTACAGCGGTCAGAACTGCTGCTTAAGATTTAAGGGTTGGTCAAATGTTCCTCTCTGATGACCACTTACGTTTTGCTGTTGTGACTTGTAGCTGTGGCCAATAATGCTCTTTTTCAAGGAATGTATCGTAGGGTTGCCAGGCACTCGTTGGGGCCTGGAATTCTCCCAGAATTGCGGCTCATCTCCAGACTACAGAGATCAGTTCCCTTGGAGAACTGATCCAGGTTCAGTGGGCAAACTCTATGGTAAACCATAGATTCTAAGTGAAATCATTCCCCAAATTCCCCCCTCCTAGGGTTGCTCGGTCTGGTTTGGGAACTACCTAGAGATTTGGGGGGGTTGAGCCCAATGTTCCCTCTAAGCTGTGGAGTCTTGTGAGCAAAAATTCCACTTTGTGAGCTCCTGGCATTAAAGTTGTGAGCGAGCCATTTGGCTTACTGCATACATTAGTTTGCTGTGGAGCCATCCTTCCTGAGCGAAGACAAAAATGTGTGAGCCAGGGGCTAAAAACTGTGAGCTAGTTCACACTAACTCAGCTTAGAGGGAACACTGGTTGAGCCTGAGGGGCAGGGTTTGGGGAGGGGAGGGACTTCAGTTGGGTATAATGCCATAGAGTCCGGATTTGTCGAATGGACAAATAATATCCATAATACTATTAAGTTTCCATCTAATAGCAAGTTTGCATCTAATTACAAAGCTGCTAACCGTTTGAAACACACATGATAGAATGGCATTTTAAGCCCATAAAAATCAACTCCCCCAAATGCATATCATTAAAGCAATTAAAAATAGAGTTCAAAAGGGTCTGAGAAGTGTTCTGGTTAAAGTGGTGATAGTTGTAGTGGGTAAAATGATAACGGGAACTGTATGTTTTTGGAGATAAGTAGGCCATGTGCATTCTTCCTTAGGCCAGTTTCTTTTCTTTTAAGCTGATAGCATTATAGAGGGTACTGCATTTACACTGTAAGGTTTGTCAGGATCACATGGGGAAAATGACATGGAAAATTCCCCTCTTATGTCTTCTTTGCCTCTTTTGGTTGGTCTGTCCAAACTTTCAGAGGTATTCGTTCCTCACCAGTGTCTTCCCTATGTTCCCAGCATGTGTATATGCATCCCTGAAATGAACACATTCCTGACCCCCTTCCGTCTCATTATCAAGGATGCTGATAAAATACTTTGCTCAGGATTTATCCTAGTTTACCAGATCATGAGGGATGCAATAAGTCCTAAGCAAATTATTATTATATTTGTAAAGTGTGTCCTTTAATATGTTTGTATTTCCCCTTCGTTTGGAAGATACTGTGATGGATCCAGTCCTCTTCCCTCCCTCAGAGGCTTGAATTTCCCTCCATATCTCTGTCCCTTCACTGACTGAGCAGCCCTGGTAATGTGTTTTCTTCTCTCCTGAAGAAACTTTTGCTGTCCTACCCTGTCAGTAAGATATATTTTGGCTATTTGCTCAGCCCAGGAACCTGAGGGAAGGTATAGGATTGCTCTTTAACTAAACCCTTGAAAATGGCATTTGAGACGCTTTTAAAATTCAAAAATAACAAAAGATTTCATTTAACATCAAGGGGAAAGGTCAGGTGAATTCAGGGTTTGAAATTACCGAGGTAAAACTAGTAGAAGCACAGACTTGTTCTTATATATCAGGCTCATGAGAGGTTCTTAAATTATTCACAGTTACTTTAAATCATTATATTGAAAAGCTTTTGTTCCAGTGTTTTCCCAAACACTCTAAAACACTTTGTATGTATTATTACTGACTCTTTTGGTGCTCAAAAGGCCGATAACTTATTTCCAGTACCCAAACCCCTTATCTTGGAACACCAGTACTCTTTTTGAGTTTTTGACTGACTTTTAAGGTCTTTAATGGCTGTTTCTAATCACACCAGACCAGGGATCTCTGTACTCCTTAGAGATAACTCTCCCTGTTCGACTGGGTAGGGATTCTTCTTCTCTCTCTGGAAGATCTATCCCCTTTCCTTTGGCCTGAATGGGAGTCTTCTCTACTCCCCAAACTTCCTTGCCAAACTTTCCCTCAGTTCTCTGTCAGTGTTCTAACTGCTCTCAGCTAATGCTTAATTCACACTGCAGTCAAGGTTGAAATCTGACTCTGTCAGCACTAAACCCTTTTTCTGTCAGGGCTATTCTCAGACAGTCTCAGTACAGGTCTCTTCTCACTTAAGGCAGGAGTCTGACTGACTCTCCTCAGCATCAAGTTGTCTCCTGACTTTTTTTTTTGCTCAGCTGATGCTAACCTATCAGATTGCCTGGAGCAGCCTGTCACTCAAGGCCCTCTGGCACTATGAAGTATTAACCCTTCACAGTCCTTTAGTTGTACGTACAGCACTTCTGAGCCCCTTAAAAAGTGCAGTCTGTCACAGATACCTTTTCCAGAACTCAGGGTTTGTAGCCTCTTCCTTCCTAACTCTAAAGAGAGTTCACAAAAGGCCCAGAATGGATCCACTTCTGCTCTAGCGATCAGTTTCCCTGGAGAAAATGGATGCCTTGGAGGGTGGTCTCCATGGCATCCTGAGGGCCCTGTCCTCCCCAGGCTCCACCTCCAAATCATCAGGAGTTTCCCCACCCTGGATCTGGCAACCCTACCCCCTGCTGGTGGCCAGGAAGGGCCTGGAGACTTTACCTTGTCCACCAAATTAGACTCCCAGCAAATTCATTTCTAGACCTCTCACTCCTTGCACCTCTCCTAGTTTCTAGGCTGGCAAACAGAGGACAACCTAGTTTTCCTGAAGGTCCAGACCACCCCCGATCTAACCCTGAGGCCTCCAGAGACCGAGTGTGGTGGAGTTGTTAAGAGTGGCAGACTCCAGTATGGAGAACTGGGTTTGGTTCCCCATTCGCCCTCCACATGAAGCCTGCTGGGTGACCTTGGGCCAGTCACAGTTCTCTCAGTTCTCCCTCAGCCCCACCTGCCTCACTAGGTACCTCTTGTGGGGAGAGGAAGAGGTAGAGAATGTGATTGTAAGCTGTTTTGAGACTCCTTATGCTAGAGAAAGGAGCTGTGGTGGCTCAAGTGGTTAAGATGGTGAACTGCAGGCTGTGGAAGGTCGGTAGTTCAGCAGTTCGAGACCCGAGTGTGCCGCATGAAGGAGTGAGCTCCCATCTCTAGTTCCAGCTCCTGCCAACCTAGCAGTTCGAAAGCAAGAAATTGCAAGTAGATAAATAGATATCACTTCGGTGGGAAGGTAACAGCGTTCCGTGCGCCTTGGTGTTTAGTCATGCCGGCCACATGACCACGGAAACGTCTTCGGACAGCGCTGGCTCTTTGGCTTTGAAACGGAGATGAGCACCGCAACCCTAGAGTTGGATTCGACTGGCTTTCGAGCAGGGGAACCTTTGCCTTTACTTTTTTTATGATAGAGAAAAGCGGGGTATAAAAAACAACTTTCCTTCCTCCTCCTTAAATTAGCTGTTTCGTGGATAATATCCCTGTATTCCCCACAAATTTGTTTTAGCATATTTTAAGACCATCTAATCTAGTGGTCGTCTTTATGTGTGGCAATGAGTTCTATACATCTTTTAAATGTTTGTGAAGGCTTTCTTCACCTGTGGTTACTGCTGTGATTACACCTAAAACGCATACCATGTAATGCTTAAAAAAGAAGAGAATGTTTTTTAAAAAAAACCCTCAAAGCAAACAGTCTAGGTGAACACGTTAGGCAAGCAAGTTCAATCACTGGTTTTCCATTATACCTAATATTTACAATCTCGTGAAATATATGAACAATTTTTCAGTCCTGTGAGGCCGTGGAACACTGGAACCAAAAAGGAAAAAACCCACCATTTTCATGGTGAAGTATTAGTGTCGGACACATTACAAGGAAAACATGTTCAACTTTGCTGTGCTTCCGTACTGTACAGACTTCTCGCAGTGTCCCCGTTCCATCCTGTATGCAAATTGATCTGCGTCAGCTTGTGTTACCACAAGAGATCGACATGTGATATATTCTGTTTCTTTCTTGCAGATTCTTCCTGGCCTGTACCTTGGAAATTTTAAAGGTAAAGTTCTTTTCCTTTGCCGCTCTAGTGTTTACCTGCTTGCAACTTGTAAGCTCAGAGAGTCCTGAGTGAGATTCTCCCAGGTGTTTGGACCTTCTAAAGGAGGTGGGGGAGCAGGAACAATGTGAACGGCGCACTGTCCCTGCCTAACCCTACCCCATCTCTGCTTGGCCAGCCCTCAGGATGTCTCTCCCCCTTTTCCATTCGGTGCAGAGCTTAGGACCCCGTGACCGAAAACTACATCTTGAATTATTGAGCTTAGAACCAATACGTGAGTTCTGAAATCTGAGGAAAGAAAATCAGGTTCACGCACGTTCGGGGGTATAAACACAGGGGCTCCCAGTTTCTTGATTTTTTTAAAAAAAGAATTGGTACCCGAAACAAGGCATTGGGTCTATTGGACTCTGGCAGGCCAGGATGGTGAGGTATGTGGGGAGACGGGTGTGAGAACAGCCCACGCTGGTCCTTCACTGGTGCCTCCTTGCTTTTCTGGTTGTCAACTCCCGTGCTTATTTTACCTCCCAAGTGGTAATTGGGGTTCAGCTCAGGTTTTGGGTAGCCCTTGGTAAGATGCCATTAAGTGGGACTATTTGTCTGGTGCCCCCCCAACTCATTGGACACCCATCCAGGCCTGTAGCTATGGTGGGACTTTTGGGGGCCCCGCCCTCTTTCTTAAAGGCACGGCCCCACAAGAATTTCTCTTGTAAATGCTCTTTCCAGTCATTTTAAAATATTGTTTTAAAGGCGTGCACGCCTTTAAGCAGAGTGGGGTGCTGTCGTTGACTAATTCCCACACTGAGCAAGGGGGTTGGAGTAGGTGACCTCTAGGATCCCTTCTAACTCTCTGTCAATAAACTGGTCTCCTTTAAGAGAGTTTTCCTGCCCAAGTGTTCGCTTTCTTGACTACAGAAGTCATCACCACCTCCCACCTGCCGGCTTGTTTTCAGAATTGTTGCTTAGGCTGGTGGAGGGGATTAACTTGCAGCAGCTGAGAACTG